TTAATGAGCATCATTCTCTGAGCAGCAGGGGCTGCGCCTCTCCAATCAGCTCCTGCTTTGCTCTGTGGTGGGGCGCACTGCTGCAGATTTGCATTATCTAAAAACAGATGATGACATGAAAGCTAAAAACTCTAGGAAAGGAAATATAACAGACAGACTCATTAGCACTACTAGACACTTTTATTTATTTATTTTCTAGATGCACTTGGGGGAAAAAATCATTTATCATTTAAAACACAATGTATGTCTTTTCTGATTGTGAATACATGAATTCACAATTTCTACATCTCATTCAGCACTGGGGAAAAAATCTGCAATTCCAGCTTCACCGTCCAGATTTCAGAGTCTTGTCTTGCACTTAGCTGTTTAATATCTTTCTAAATTACAGATATTTATGAGATTTGGCCTCCATAAATAGAGTTCTTCATAGAGTTTAAAGGAACAATAGTTTCTTTCATGTTTATTTCCTGTGCAGGTTGTTCTCCCGTAAATTCAAATAAGGTGACGTCCATAGGTTTTCAACTTCCTAGTGTTACTAATCAAAATGTCTGTCTGTGCTTCTTAGGCCAAAGCTCGAGGACGGTCAGCTCCTCTACAAGCATAGAAAGCCTCTCCGGTGGCCGTGGTCAATCCACCGCCTCCCCGCCTCTTCCCCCATCCAGAGGGAGTGATGTCAGCACTTCATCCCCTCCCCTCTCCGCCACCAAGAAGGAGTCCTTCTTTAACATCACTCGCTCGCGCTCCCACAGCAAGACTATGGGCAAGAAAGAGATGGTAAGTCTTTTTAAGTTGTCTTTCTCACATTTAATTTTCTCTCACAGCTTTAACCATAATCCCTTCTTTGTAGGGTTTCCTTCAGTTTCCAATTTTCTCTGTTTGTGTTTGTGGGATCAACAGGAAGAAGACCTGGAAGCCCAAGTCTCTTTCCTGCAGGGCCAGATCAACGACCTGGAGGCCATGAGCAAATACTGTGCTAAGATGATGAACACACACATCTGTAAGTTCAGCAACACATGGTTACATGGCTTAAAAAAAAACATTCAGTCTAATTCCACTCGTGTGTCAGCGTCTGCTGCAGGTTATATTTTTGTCTAACTTAAATTTGTAAATTTGCAAATTTCTAATTTTGCTAAAAATTTACTGACAATAATAATACTGTTTATGTTTTTGAATTGTAATATAGTGAAGCAACAGCTGTTTCGATTGACCACTCATTGTTCCTCTAGGTAAAATCCAGGAAGTGATTCTCCAAGAACACCTCGAGAAAGAGGATGAGGTCCTGGTCTCACTGGCTGGACTCAAACAGGTGACTGTGTGAGCAGATGCTATAAGTGTGTATTCATTTTTGTGATGTCCCTTTTTATAATCATATTCACTAACTCATCTCTGTGGCCTCCTTCTCCCTGTCAGATTAAAGACATCCTAAAGGGAGCGCTGCGCTTCAACCAGAGCCAGCTGGAAGCTGAGGAGAATGAAGAAATCACCATTGCTGACGATCACTACACGTCCACAGCAGCAGCAGGTGAAACTGTTCTAAGCACCAGCAGCCTCCACAGTGGCCAGCAACAGCAGGCAAACATCAGGCCGAGCAGGGACTCCGAGCTGGAAGGGAGCGCGAGCATGGACGAGAAGGAGGAGGAGCAGGCCATGACACCATTTGATCAACAGGTCAGCGTTTTTCCTGTCTGCGTAAATTATTGCTCTGTACCTCTGCCAGCTGTATTGGCATCAAATATAGTTTAACGTTCACTCCATACAGGATTATGTTTCGTCGTCTGTTCTGCTGTTTGACCCTTTGATCCCAGGATTCATTCATTCATTTTAAATCCTAATCCCTTTCATGTCTGCAAGTCTGTGTTCAGAGTGGTTTTGTATCTTTCCAGGATTATGGTGTGTCATGCTAAATCTGCTCTCCTAAGAATTATACCATTTCTGAATGATACCGCCGAGCACAGCAAGTTTATCTCAAAACACTCAGCTTTAGGCCAAGGCAAGCGTGATCTCACACTTTAGGCATTTATGCAGTTTTAAAAAAGATTTTTGCATGCAGGTGGCGTCTTCTCTGGGCTCGGAGGGCAAAAACTGGGACGATTACATCCTTATTTCCCAGGACGGAGACCTGCACGCCGAAACTGGAGGAAGGGCTGCATCCGAGCGCACTCCTCCAATCAGACGGGGACGTGGCATGGTGCGGATGGAGCCTGAGGGTGCGGCTGGAACTTTCCAAGACCCCCTAATGGCAGGCACCACCTCAGGTTCCTCCAGTCCAGATGAAGGCTCCACCCACAGCAAGGACTCTGACTTTACCATCGTTAACCCGAACGACCTGTGAACGTGTTAAATCACCGCCCTATTCCTTCACCTATACCCGTTCTGGCTCATATCCCATTCAGCGGGGTTTGATCAGAGAAAAGTGACCTGGAATTGGTGAGGGGACTTTAGGTCGATGGTGGAGCGCCACTGAAACTGCTCTCAACATAGAAATTGAACACATGGACTGTGACACTTGTGTCACAAATGCCCGATACTCTCTTTAATCTGTGCCACTTCAGTCCTGTCTGAGCTGATGCTGTATGCTGTCTCATCTCCTTATTATGCTGGGCCTTTTTAGTGGGTACAATCTAACCTCATCCGTCACTCATGATGATTTGTAGTTCCCTGCTCTACAGAGAGAGGGCGCCATTGAACTGCTTACCCTGTCACTACAAGATGACTCTAAAGAGTTGGACCTCAAACTGCAGTTTACCTTCAGGAGGGGACTCCTTTTCTCTTACTGTAATGATTGAGAGTGTGGTGCTGTTGTTCCTCGTGAATGTGGAGCTCTGGCCATACCTCTGCCTGTGTTCTGTCTGCGTGTATGCCTCTAAAGAGGAAGCTCTCTGCTCTGATACTCGAAGGAAAGAAGGATGGTGTCGTCCTGTCACTTGTTGAGGGCAGCTTTCTCCCCACTCATAACCAGTGCCTCTGACCGTTATTCTTCTCAGCCAAACAAAACCTAACTCTGTGATCCTTTTTTTTTTTTTTTTTTTTTTTAAGAAAACACTTTTAAAGAAAACTGTGTTTTGTTTTTGTTTTTAACCCTTTAGTGCTTTAATTTCCCTGTTGTATATGATTAAATTATGGAATAAATCTCCTTTACCTTTGTTTTAAAATCGATTCCAATGTGGACAATTCAGTGTCGGTTATCTTTGCTCACGTTACAGGTAAGTTGTTCTCATGTTCTGTGGCAAAATTACGCAAAGCAGCACACAAAGAATGTTCCTCTATAGCTGCCTATTCAGCCTAATTAACTCTAGACCAATAAAACTACATTGCTCTTGCTAAAACGCTGAACTTCTAGTGTCTTCTTTGGATTACTTGCTCTCAAGACTTTGAGTTAACACATTGTCCTGATTGGATAGCAGCGGTAAAAAGCAGACAGGAAGTGTGGGTAAATGGAGTAGGAGTATAACAACTGAACCATGGATTCGTAGCTAATGGTATTTGTTTACGTATGCTGTGTACTTTGAAGATATCAGTCTTTGTGGTTTATTTAAAAGCTATTCGGGGGTTTTGGTTAAATAATGGTTTTCATCTCCAGATATTATGCATTGTTGCAAGGAGCTGCTACAGATGTTTTGGATGTTTATAACATATTTAACTGCAAAACCATCCATACTTAGAGCAGCAGCATGGGTAAGCCTATATTTCAGTGAAGCTGAGAGATGATTATTTCCAGGATAGTAAAAACCTGGATCTCATACAAATAAAATGTGCATTTATATGTACAAACACTTACTAGGTTCACATTTATAACTGCTTGTTAATGCAAATGTGTAATCAGCCAGTCACATAGCAACAACTCAATGTGTTTAGGCTCATAAATTAATCAAAATGACCTGCTGGAGTTCAAACCAAGCCTCTGAGTGGACAAGAAAGGTGATTTGAGTTTGAACGGTTGTTGTGCCAGCTGAGCTGATCTGAGTGTTTCAAAAACTGCTGAGCTGCTGGGATTTTTCCTGCACAACCATCTCTACACTGAAAAAGGGGAAAATATCCAGTGAGCAGCAGTTTGGGCGAAAAATTGTTGATACCAGCCGTCAGAGGAGAATAGCCAGACTGCTTCGAAATCAACAACAACTCAAATGACTATTTATTACAACCACAGCAATTTTTAAATGCACAACACGTTGAGCTGTGATGGAGATGGGCTACACCAGCAGAAGGCCATACCACTGTTGTTATGCTGTTAGAAAAGGAAAGAGAAGCTACTTCTGTTCTCCAGTCAGAGTAGGAAATTGGAAAAATGTTGGCTGGTCTGATGCCGTGATTTCTACTGTGACACGAAAGCATTGGTTCATCCTACTTCTTATCAATGGTTCAGTGATGATGTAATGGTGAGGCTGATCTTGGCACAGTTTGAGCCCTTTAGTACCAGTTCAGCATCATTTAAACCCCAGACTATTACCTGACTATTGTTGCTGACACAGCTATCCCTTTATGACTACAGTGTGGCCATCCTCCGGCATGCTTCCAGAAGGATAACATGCCATGTCACAAAACTCTAATCATAAACTAGTTTCTTGAGCATGACAATGATTTTAATGTACTCAAATGGCCTCCAGTCAGCAGATCTCAATCCAATAGAGCACCTTTGGGATATATTGTAATGGGAGATTCACATAATGAATGTTCAGCTAATAAATCTCCAGAAACTGATATCAATGAACCAAAATCTGTCGGTAAGATTTAAAGCAGTTGCTTGCAAGGTGTACCTAATAAAGTGGTCATTGGTGCATGTTTTGATGGTTGGAAATAGTCATTAATTGTGACCTTTCAACCGTGATGCACCGAAGCTTTATATGGAAGCTGTAATTAGTTTTTTTTCCACTGCTCATTGCAGCAGCATCACAGGTCTGTTTCCCCAGCTGTCATCGCAGCACTCCTCTTGCTTGTGTCATGCGTCACTATAGCTGAAAGCTCCATCAAGTCTTGCAGAAAAACAGAGGCATGCGCACAAGTCATTTAAAAACTAGTTTATTTTCATCCTGGCTGCTGAGGAAGGGAATCGTGAACTGACCTTTTACAGAACTGCTCGAGCCTCATTTATCCACACCAATAATATGTATCTGGAATGTTTTCATTCAGGATCAATAACTTATGTAAAATATTCTTTGCAGTAAAAGGATAGAATTACTTAATAAAATACTGTACAGCGTTTTAAAACACAAACATAACAGTATTAGTTCCCTCTAACCACATATTTACACTTCTGGAATTGATCGTTTTGGTAGGTAACACTGGGTTCATTAGCACACGCCTTTTTTTTAATGTAAATACAAAAATATAGAATACTGTATGTAAGACCGTAGTAAGATGGCAAAGTGGTGGATTTTTAGTAAGACAAAGGACCTCAAGTTAATTGAATCAAAGTTGAGTGAAGAGCAGCGACTGGGGACCAAAAGACAGGTAATCAAAATCTAGAGAGACATAAAGAGACTGCGTTGGTCCACAAGTAACGACAGAAGACCTCAAACATCCACACATTCTTTGACAAACTGTTTCTTTTAACTCACACGCAAGCTGTCTTACACACCAATCTGAATTTAATCACTGTGGAGTAAAAGTCACCATCATTTTTTCAAAAAGGTTTTTTGTCTTCTGGTTTCAATCATCCCCTGACCTCAGAAAACATTGCACATAACAAGTGAACATTAAACATTTGGCTTATTTACAGTTTAATACAGTACAAACCGCTCAACCTTGGCTTCAGTAACTACATTCATCTCGGCAGCTTCGCTTTTCATTAGTCTTCCCTTGGCTGTGCGCCGCCTTCTCTGGCTCGAGGGTTCAGTAACAGGTGAGCTTACAGTGGCTGCGTTTTGAAGACTTGCATTCATCAGTTCTCCTGTTACTCTCTGTAATGCCTACAAAACACTTTGATAGCTTGCCCACTCTGGGGGACTAAGACAGTGTAACACACGCGCACACACAGACACACACAAAAGTGAAAAGAGTTTTTCACAGCAGCTAGGTGCCCTCTTTTTTTCTACTTGCTATGCCGACTGTCCTCTAGTACTCATTGCAAGTTTTTCATTGGGGCCTCTGCGTGTTTGGGAGCTTGCCCGTCTTAATCCGGCTCTCTCCTTGGTGAGGTTTCCAGCCAGAGCAGCATCATGGACCTGCTTCATGTTCTCCAGGACTTCAGCCTTGGCGTGTTTCAGCAGGTCAGCCTGGCCCTGGGTGTCAGGAAAGATGGGGAACACAAAAATCAGGAGGCAGGGTTTACAGAGAACGAGGGTGAGGACAGGGAGGTTGAAAGAACAAAGTATGAGCAACCAGCCAGAGGCTGAAACATGTTCTGATACTCTGCCCCGATTGGCTGTTGGGCTTTTTCAGCGTGCATGAGTATATAACTGACCTTAAGGATGGTGATGTTCCAGCTGAAACGCTCAACTGCTCGGCTGACCTTGGAACCTTTCAGCCCCTCTTTCGTACCCAGGCTTTGCAGTTTTTCGTGAAACTCCATGGCTAGAATGAAAAAGCAAAGAACCACAGCAGATCAGACTTACAGTTCCAATCTCGTACATTTAAATTAAAATTAAAAAGTATATCATCCTTTACAGGAACATGGTGCACTTTTCTCCAAGGCAATCATCATGGCTAACAGGCCATACTAACATGACAACACCTGCTAAACATCTGCACAGTACCACTGTTGTAAGCATGTTAGCATTTATTTCAAATTACTTCCATGCCTCAATCTAGACTCTCATTATGAAAATAAAAACAAAAATAAATCATGTTAAATAAAATTCTGTTTTTTTTCCCTCCAAGTGAACAACACAATTATCACTGACGCAGTAGCCTTCAGGTCACCTACTTCCACACAGAGCTGTGTCCAATATGAGAACATTTCATCTGACCTTACTCTGACTTTCTAAGGATTTCATACATAATTTAGCTTACAAACAGAGACAAGCTCTTTTTTTCCACATCATTCGCCCCCAAAAAAATAAATGCTGCCCCTTCACACCACTTTTTGTTAAGTCATACAGCAAAAGAGTGGAGCAAAATCTACCAGGAACACTGAGATAATCATGCCAGGGATGTGCTGGGCAAGTCTCTCTCGAGTACTAAAGCTTACCTGCTTCACAATCTGACTAAGAAGAAAAAATTGGAATTACACGATTACTACGATTGAATGTGGTAGTGACCTTATATATTAGATGCCAGCTCTATCCTTTCAAACATCCATCCGTTCATTTTCTTAAACCTTCAATTTGATTCCATTTGAATCGGGGAAATTTTGCCTCAGACAGTCAGAAATATTATAATTCAAGTCATGCATCAGTACATTTCTATATTTTTATATCTATAAAAAGAAATCTGACACTTGCGAGACTTTATCAAAGGTGTGAGCATCACAGCAGATGCCTTTGTGTCAAAGTAGCTGAGGATAAAACACAGAAAAACATAAAAATATTCTGCAGTTGATCAAAAACAAAAGAAAACCATTAATAAACATATGAACATTACCTGATGCTACTGAAGTGAAGCAGAGCAAAGTTACAGAGGTTTGATTACAGACACAGCTGAGCATTTTGCAATTTTGCATAATTTTAAAAAGTTTACATTTGTTCAGTGTTGAACGGCAGAAATGAAGCTTTCTTTTCGGAAGTAAGTAAGAGAAAAAGAAAAAACTGCGGCAGACAGCGCTGTAAGAACGGTAGACTTGTGCATAACAAGCAGGCGAATAATGCAGAAAACAGATTTTTAGACCGGAAACTGTTCTTCAAGTACAGAGAGAGAGAGAGAGAGAGAGCTGTGCATGAAGTTTAATTTTATCGTTGTGGCAGCAAAACAATCAGAGGGAATTCATGACGGTGTTTATGTGAAGCGTAGTTTGGATCTCCTTTCGCTGCTGGTTTACTCAATATTGTTTGGAGAGAGATAAAACCTGCAGCTTCAGAATCAGCGCAAAAAGGGCGTAAACACAAAGCGCGGACCCGCTGAAACATCAAAATCAGCGAGCTGTCGGCTTTCAGCTCGTGTCCGTACAGTCAGGTGAGAAAGTTACATCTCACTGATTCTGTTGCGTCAGCGGCTCCGCGCTTTATGTTTACGTCTTTGTGCAGAATCCGTGTTCCTGCTCTCATTTACCGTTTTAGCTGTTTGGTGGTTGTTGAAATTTTGGGAGGTTTAACCTGATATTCTGGCGTTGGCCAAAATAAATTTGTATTAAAAAATCGATTCAGGATTTTAATGAATCGATATCACAATATCCAAGCGAGAATCGATTTTAATCGATAAATCGATAATCAAAACCCACCTCTAGTTTTTACCTCACAATATAAAAGCGCCTTGAGGCGACTGCTGCTGTGATTTGGTGTTATATGAATGTAGCTGAATTTTGGTTAAGATAATCTTCAGTCCACAGCTCGCACATGTTGCTGGCCGGGTTTTATCTTTCCAAAGTGATTGCTGCAGTCAGTTGCTTTGTGTGCTGCAAATTCAGAACTGTAAGTATGAGTCTAAACATCAAGCTTGCTTGAGTGCACCCTGCCTTTCTCTGATGGGTTTTTTTCCCCCTCAATCACTGACACTTGCAGCTACATTTTAACTTGTGCTGCATATTTAGCTTCTCACATCACCTTTGCTCGGCTGTCCCCACATTCAATGTTCATATCTGCCCAATGATCTTTGTGCTCTGGCTCAATCAGTGAGTTTCAATATTACATCTGCAAGCTTAAGCCCCAGAAGATTCTACGCTCACCTTTGGATCGCATTAAGGAGGTCTATTTGACCAACTCTGTCTCTGTTCAGTCAGTAAATACTGATGGCCATTTTTCATTATTCTCAAGCCTGGAGTTGATGATGTTTTTTTTTGTACTTTTTTAACAAACCAAATTCTAGAAGACACAGGTGGAGGATGTGTACCTGTGTAATCTTCAAACTTTTGAGGGAAATTAAGTCACATCATACACAACAGCCGATTACAAAATGAAACTGCCAGGCGTCTGAGAGACTGAGGGAGAAAGACGCAGAGAAATTAAGACAGCGTCACAGAAGTCAGGCCGGCAGCTAGTTAGCCTGTGTGCAATGAGTTGTGTTCCTGGCTTCCTCTGGCCGCTCCGGGCCACTGTCCCACTGTTACCATGGAAACCCGGAAGTGGGTTAACATGGGGCACACATCATTGTGAGCTATCAACAAGAACCCAGACGTTAGACATGCCAAAATGTGGACCACACAGACACACACACACACACACACGCAGAAGAGTGAACAGATTGGGTGCTAGTCTATTTCACCCATCCCTGACACATGACTCTTCCCGGTCAATAAACGTCTGCAAACATGGACACGCACCTGCACACGCATACGCTGTCACTGCTCTACATTCACACACACCTACATAAGTTGCCTGAATAATAACCTTTACTGCGTGGTTGCTAGGCAACTCAAAGCCTACGTGCCACTGTAGTGTGCGCGTGCGCCCGTGTGTCTATTTCCCTGTGAAATCAAGCGAAGTCGTGGGGTGGGGAGGGGGGGTATTTTTCAAGCCAATATCGTTCAGTGTGTGCATACACAGGCAAACAACACTCCCAGATACAGGGTCTTGACCCAGAGATAAAATAGCCTATAGGGGCCAGCCAATCAGCATGTGACAGGTATTTGTCATCATCACTTTATGTCCTCAGCCTGAACCGTGAATCAACTGAGATGGAAATGATCTGACTTCCAGCAGAGCTCTCGTCAAGAAACCACCGGGCTGTGAGCATCTGATGAAGTGTAAAATCTATACTTCCAGATGTCACACAGAGGCCAGCGCCCTGAGGGAAAAGCAGCTGATCATCTGGGGTTAATGATGGACAAGTTCTCCCAAAATTAGAAAAAAAAGTGGGTATGACTCTATAGCCTTTGTGGCGCTTTTCATCTGTGACCGACCTCTCCATACTGGAGGAACAAACTGTACTCCTCCAAATTAAGATAATTTTACTACCTAACAACCAATTTAAAGAGGCCCTCAAGGAAGGAAGAATGTTGCTGTTCTCCAATAGTCTTTTTTTCCTGACCCGTTTTTCCTGTCGTCACCCTCTCAGAAGACATAAGGACTGAGAGAATAAGTCCAGGACGAATGATCCTGTCCAGTTTGAAGACGGAAAGGAGAAACACAAGAAGAGCAGGTGATAAGGCGCGCAAAGCTAGGACTACTGTGTGCAGGCTTCCCTATGAGCCAATCAAATTTTCTTCTGGATTATGCCGTTGTCTTGAGAACTTATTGTTTCACACAAAGAAACATCAATGCAGGGAAAGGAGAAAAAAAAGTGCCTTTTAAAATCTTAAACTGGGATCAGGATGAGATGAGAGGAAGGTTATTTCTCAGAAGCAGAAGTTTTATTGACGGTTGATGATTACTGAGAGGGAATGGAAAACAAAAAGATAAAAACGATCCATGTCTGGGCTTTACACAAGCATCTGCTTAGAATCAACCTTTTTCTGTCCTTTGTTTAGATTTTTCATTTAGTTTTTAATCCCATTCATTTGAGCAGGCAAGCCTTACAGATTCATTTTACTGCTGGATTTGGGGCGATCGTGGCTCAAGAGTTGGGTGTTCGTCTCGTAATCGGAAGGTTGCCGGTTCGAGCCCCGGCTCGGACAGTCTCGGTCGTTGTGTCCTTGGGCAAGACACTTCACCCGTTGCCTACTGGTGGTGGTCAGAGGGCCCGGTGGCGCCAGTGTCCAGCAGCTTCGCCTCTGTCACTGCGCCCAGGTGGCTGTAGCTACAATGTAGCTTGCCATCACCAGTGTGTGTGAATGGGTGGATGACTGAATGTGTAAAGCGCTTTGGGGTCCTTAGGGACTAGTAAAGCGCTATACAAATACAGGTCATTTACCATTTACACACATCCGAGAGACCGACTAGAATTATATGTGAGGTGTTCACAGCAGCAAAAATTAATCACAGTGAAAATTGACAGTGCATTTGAATCAGAGTGATGAAGCATCATCTCTGACAGATGTGAAAATTAACACCTACAAGAATCTTGCTTTCGCTTTTTCTTTGAGGTTTAACTTCTCACCTTGCTGCCTGTGCACTTCAGGGTGTGACAGAAGTGAAACTAGTGTAGCTCGTGAGCAGGAACAGCAGCAAAGCAACAGCTTTTGAGGCTGGTGTTATAATAGTTTCACACTTAACAAAATGTAAGTTACAAAGCATCTAAATAAATATACATGTATACCACTAGTGACCGCTGAGAATTCCCCTCCCCCGCACACCCATATACTGGAGTGGATTTCCTCTTTCTTCTCCCTTGGTGTTCTTGTCTTCCTCCCAGCATTCCTTCTAGCCATCGATCTCTCCCATTCATCTTCCCACGGCTTTTGTAACGGCTGATGCAACTTCCAGCCAAGTATCTCTGTCACCAATCGTCCCGCGGCTTTTGTAACGGCTGATGCAACTTCCAGCCAAGTATCTCTGTCACCAATCGTCCCGTGCCCCCCCAAGTGACTGGTTTATGCCTTCTCGCTGCCAACTCCCTCTTCCGAGGCTTAGAGGTGGACCTCCGCCTTTGGGATCACTTGATCACCAGATTTCCTTTGTACACAGGAAAAGCTTTGCTCACAAGATCAGGCCTAAGGCTCTGCAGCAGCTCTTTATCAGATGAGTGCAAAAAACACACACTTTAGGGATCTCTCGGCACAGAGTGGCCATCGCTGTACTCGTAACTGCGAAAAAACAGATGAATATGTCAAATGCAGTTTGATTGCAGAGTCGAGCAGCGGCCCCGAAAACAGAAAAATAAAGTCCAATGGAGGATGTGATGAGTTGTCTGGGAGCAGAGTGGAGGAGTCTGCAAAGTTGTAAACAACATTCATCTCAGTCAGATACTTTGTCTCTCCACTGGAGTGGCCCCAGCTGAACCATCATCTTTCTCTCCGAATATCATTTGACTTGGAGTTTAACTGGAGTTCTCCCTTGTGTGGGTTTTTTTTTTCTATTCATATTTTGCTCAAGGGTGGCATTGGAAAAGCCAACAATTTTTTGCATCATTTCAAACTGCAACATTCTTACAAAGCTCATGGACGCTTTAATATTTAATGTGTACCAAGAGTTCTTTAGAAGGGAAAACAAAAGTGAGACATTTGTAAGCGCAGCTTGTGAAATTCACCGCCTTCAGATTCATACATATATACTGTGAATGTTTATCACTTTGTTTTTCCTTTGCACCAAACCGGTTAACATGTCTAAATGTCAGTCAAGCTGTTTCCTGGGTGACAGCCAGACACTAAAACAGGGTGATGAACGTGATGTGCATAATGTGTTGTGTGCAGCAATGTGTTTGAGGGGGTTGTTTATGGCCTCTATGACAACAGTCTGGCTAACTAAAGTCAGATGACCCAAGGGATACTGCTGAAGTAAACAAACCTCTGCCAAAGATCACAGAAATGATACCGGCAGGTCAGATTTCATGCCCTTCACTTAACAGACAGATGGGTGATGGATGATGGGAGTTGCACCAATTTAAAATCTCCTCCAGCCAAAATATACACAGACAAACTGAGCCAGTATAAAGCCTCATCTAACCTTGTCTAACAGCGGTGATAAGACAGATAAAATATAGTGGGAGAGGAAAGGAAGGGAGCTGACGGTAATCAGCCACTGCAGCCATCTATATAGCACTGCTAAAGAGGCTGTGTGGGAGTATGCTAGAAATATGGAGATAGATTGGTTTATACTCATTACACACACTCTAGATAGGAGAATCTCATTTAAACGCACACACGCCTACACACCTGTTGTCTGTATATGCAGGATTTTGTCGTGGATTCCATCTGAGAGCTCCATCACCGCTCTGCTCGCCTGGACCATCTGCAGACAGGGAAGCATCAACATGATTCACATTAAAGAGCATGAAGGAGAAGAAATCACAGAGTTTAACTTTGAAGAAATGTGTCTAATCTGCTGAAGAGGAATATAGTGCACAGCACTGTGCAAAAGTGTTGAGCCACCGCTCAGATCTTTATATTTTGCTTTCAAGTCTTCTTGAACAATAGTTCTCCAGTCTATGGCTGCTTGTTCGTTTGTTAATTAATCTACTTAACCTACTGACCAATAATTATTGCATTAAGCATCTAACTCAGGGGATGAACCTTGTATCTTTGCAACAACAAAATGATTCCCAATAAGTTATTAGCCAAACACTTTTCTCTGAGCATGCTCTGCAGTGTGTCCTTAAAAACTGTTAAGAGATTTGGAGACATTGAGGGCAAACAATGAACTGGCCCATCTGCTGTTCTCTGCAAGGATGGCTGTTAATAAGCCATTTTTACAGAAGGGAAACAGGGAGAAAAGGCTGAGGTATGCCAAAACACAGCGGAGGCTCAGTCATGGTTTGGGTCTGCATTTCAATAAGTGGTGTTAGACATCTTGTCAAAACTGATGGAGTTATAAACACAGAAAAGTATTGCTCCAACATGCAATACAGTCTGGAAAGAGTTTGATTGTCATTCTGAAAAAGGAAACCGTTGCCAATCATCCCAAACACACTGCCAATACAGCAAAAGCATACCTGGATTTAAAAAAACCCCAAAAAACAAACAAACAAAACACATAATGGAAGACTATCGGTCATGGATTAGCCTCCCCAGACCTCAACATTATTGAATCAGTGTGGGAACATCTTGACAGAGAACAAAACAAGAAGGCAGCCAAAGTCCACATAAGAGCTTTGAATGTGTCAAGAAACCTGGAGAACTATTCCTGAAGATTACTTAAAGTAATGACAGGAAAACTTACCTAAGAGAGGTCAGACTGTGTTAAAGAATACAGGTGGACATAATACATTTTGACTTTCAAGCGCATTATAATCATGGCCAGATATGTTTCTCATTTTCCCAGCAAAATTTAAAGAAATGAGGGCTGACTCAAAGCTTCGGCACAGTACTGTCTGTACATACCATACTGTGCACTTCAACTTAAAGAATGTAGTAATAATAATAACAATAACAACAACAATAATAACGTGTTGTTCCCACATTTAACGGATGACTGGAAATTGACAGGTGCATGCAAATAAAGTCATCCCCAGACTAATATGGCAGCTCTTTGAACATGACCACACAAGACACACACACAAAGACAGATAAAACAAGTCGCTTCTTCCTGATCAACTCTCACAAACCCTTACAGGATCTGACCCTCACAATGTGCGGGGGGGGGGGGGAATGCTATTCAACAAATATGGGATTAACCACACAACATTACTGTGACCAGATCTCGTTCAGCAATACAAACAGACACAGAGACACACACACGCAGATTCATTCATTCAAACTTTGCTGTCTCTGTTGTTTACCGCTCTCGGCAGGCACCAGGATTGAGGTGTGGAATCCATTTATGTGAACAACATTCAAATCTATGCAAATAGTATTCAGCAACAGCGGGAGCTTTTTCAACTCTGATCTGCTCGGCTGGAAACAAGTGTGGCTAATGACACGCACGCACAGACACACACACACACACACTTGCTTACATCCTAATTCACAAATAGACAGCCTGTGTCTGTGCAGTGGCTAGATGCATAGCATTGACAAGCTGTAGTTAAATTAAGGGGTTACAAATCATTCTGCTAAACATTAATCATGACTCAATAAGAAGAAACCCATTCATTTTTCTCCATGACAGCAAGTCTCTTTTTCTCATTCACACTTGCGCAGCCTCATTTCATATACTCTCCCGATAGCGCTGCTAACTTTGCAATTCATACAGACTGTCCATCATCCTGCCCGAGAGATTCCCGGGAAAGATCTAATATGAAACGGGAACAAGTGCACTTTGAGCAAATATCAATTTCAAGAAATAATGCTGCAGGCAGGCAGATGGTGGAAGGAAAAAGAAAAAAAAACAGAGGCGTAGTGTTCTTCACCACAGCAACACTTTAACACTGCAACACAGGCAAAGCAAGTCCACTGAATGCTAGCCCACAGATGTACAAAACCCACTTATGCTGGACAGCCACATTCACAAAGAGACACCAGAGGGACCGAGAGAATGCATTAACTGCAAGAGATTAATCAGTGATAGAGGAAATATGGAGGGCATTGAAAGATGGCGGCAAAAACCAAAGGGAAAATGATTGAAAGTGTGATATAAAAGCGAGGATGGAAAGAAAGACTCATCCTTTCAGTTATGACACAGGAAAACCCACTCGAACACACTAACTCACCCTGCCTTATCGACTGAATGAAGAGTTAACTTGCAGACCAATTGACCCTGCTTGGTTTTTTTTTCCTCCTCTCATTGTGTTAGTTTCCACGGGGGAAGTTCTTCTTCAGTGACTGGATTTATTTTTAGACGCCGTTACATAAATTCAGTCAGTTAAACCACTTGGTGAATGAAACTCTGCAGTTCGTTTTGGATGGAAACACAAAGTAGATTTAGGTCAAGGTGAGGATGTCGCCAGCGTGTTTATGAGACTTGAACAAATGGGGATGCTGCCTGCTACATAACAATGAAAAGCTCATGTCGGGTTTCAGAAACTATTGGCTAAAAAGGAAGCTTTTGTTTGGGAGGGGAGCTTTCATTGTCAAGCCAAGCGGTCGGGGGATGACTGATATGTTGCCTTTGTTTGGTCTTTCCTTCCTTTTGATGAATTTCAGATTTATGAGTCACATAGAGCCCTTTATCTGGTGCGAAAACATACAGAATATTAACTGTCAGGTCTCTTCCTTTCTCACCATCTCATAAGTAGAGACAACCCGGCGGAGGACATCAGGCAAAGACCCCTGGGGCTCCAGGGTGGGGTACTGGTCCCGCAGGTCAAACAGTAGTAAAGGCATCCCCTCTGGTTCTGAAACTCTAGAGCTCAGAGCCAGTATGCACTGCATGAGGTTAGCCACAGCCGACACCCCACACAGCTCCCTGAACACTGCTACTGAGTTCTGTTTAAAAGAAAGAAAGAAAAAAGCAGGAAGGACACATTTAATCAGTAGATAAATATGAATACATGATCTTCTATTCATTTTCATAATTGACTATGTGCACGTTAGCATATGCTACTTCCGGTGCGGAAACTCCTGTGGGGAGCTTTGTTTCCGGTGTCCTATTCGC